CCTCGCATCCCTAAACTTTCAACCTCAACTCCTCGACCCCTCAACCCCTCAAACCCTCAACACTCAACTCTAAACCCTAAACCCTAAACCCCAAACCCTGAACCCTAAACCCTAACCCTCCAAACCACGGCGACCAGCCTTGAAGCTCGTAGTTATCCTCAGCAGAGAGCTCTGGGAGAGACCCGGGGGTATCGAGACTTCGAAATTCGAAAACCCGCGCTCCCCGTGTACTTTCTAGCACTTTGGGGTTTAGGGTTTAGTGTTAGGGTTGAGGGCTGTGGGTTAGGGATGAAGCCCAGTGTGGAGGGAACATGTGGTTGCGAAATGCAATATGGGCACGCTCCCTTCCCAAGGGAAGGCTACGAGTAGGAGCCCTTGAGCCACGTTTGAAAGACGTGCTACAGCAAACAGTGCATGTAAAGATATCAGGGTAGCACAAGATGAGAGCCATCGGCAAGCATGTAAGTCGCTCTTGAAGACCATTTGCACAGATATAGTGCCTCACGTTGGTCGCTCTGACCTGTGTCGGCCACTGCGAGTACCCACCATTTCCCCAGTTCGGGTTTCGGGTTTAGGGATTAGGGTCAGGGTTTCGGGTTTAGAGTTTAGGATTTTGTGGAAAAGGGCTTTGGGGCCCAAGGGCAGGAGGGTATGAGCCTCCCCGAAGTCTGCAGTCCGGCGTCGTAGGTGGTGCCGGAGAGGTTGACGACCAAGTATCGGCCGGCATGGTCCCGGTTCAACCGCGTGGCCAGCCTTGCGAGAGGCCACAGGGTTTAGGGTTTAGGGTTTAGGGGTTTAGGGTTTAGGATTTAGGGTTTAGGGTTTAGAAACCTGGAAAATCTTGAACGTCGTCTCAAAGACCAAGATGATCTTGCAAAGATCTCAAAGAACTTGGCGCGTGAGGTGTTGAGGGCAAGGGCTCCGCTTCTTGCGAGTTCTGGGCTTTGTCTACAAACCTCTAAACTCCTATCTGTGCCCTCTTCCCATAAGCCCTGTAAACCCCTGAGCTGTGTTCCCACCCTGGAAGTCCTACACGCCATGTAAACCCTATAAGCCTTATCAGCCCTATAAGCCCGAACACCCTAAACCCTCAAGTAGCCCTAAAGCCTAAACCCTAAACCCCAAATCTCTGGAAGAAGTCTCTTGGACACGGACCAGTGCTGCCGCGCACGAGTTGGGAAATCCGCCGCAATCAGATTAGGCCTCACCTGGCAACACTTAGATCCTATAAGGCTTCAGGGTTTAGGATTTTAATTTAAGCTTACAGGGCTGATAGGTTTTTGCCGGAAATCCAGGGTTTGGACTTAGGGCCTCGGGCCTATGGCTCAGGGCTGAAGGGATAGGATCAAACCCTAAACCCTAAACCCTGAACTCTAAACCCTAAACCCAAACCCTACAAACCCTACAAACCCTACAAACCCTACAAACCCTACAAACCCTACAAACCCTACAAACCCTACAAACCCTACAAACCCTACAAACCCTACAAACCCTACAAGCCCTACAAACCTTACAAACCTCCACAACTCAAGCCCTAAACCCCCCCCACCCCAAAAAAAAACCTCGATGTTCCGTGAGGTTCCCGGACCTAAAACCCTAAACCTTAAACCCTAAACCCTAATTTCCGGACCTCGGCCAGACGGCAAGCGTAGTCCTCGAAGGTCAACTTGAACTCCTGCGCAGGGCAATTTTGCTTGTGGCCCCAAGAGGGCTTCGGGTGTTGGGGTTTGGGGTTCAGGGCGGGGGGTGCAGAACCCTGCCTGGCCCTTTATTTTGATTTGGCAAGCGTAGGTACTTTGGGTAGCCGATACCGAAATTGTAAGCACGATACTTGATGATGTCGGCGTCCTTTTGCATCACCGCTGCAGTTTCGCAAGCGGCAGCCGTCACCATGTTGGCATGCCGGGCAGCTCCATGCATGGGAGCAGATGGGCTTCAAAGGTCCATGAGGAAACAGCTCCTTCTTCAGTGGCTAAGAGTTTGAGGGGGCTTGCGGAGGGTGTGGTTGCGTGAGTCGACGCATGTTGACCCTGCGCCTTTCCATGCAAGGAAAAGGGTTCATGGCAAGATGGTACTGAGGTCTTTCGTGGTCCGCATGTCAACACGCAGCTGGACAGCATGGATCTGGGATCCTGAAGCCACACCCGAATTTCGGCTGGTCGTTTCACGAGAGCATACAGAAAGGTTTCGGTCGGATTCCGTCACACCAGCTGGGCATAACCGGATCAGATATTGACTGCAGTAGCTGAAAGAAGGGGTTTAGGGTTTGGGACTTGGTTGAGGCTTGGCAACGCGGAATCGGGGCTTCAGGTTTGAGAGCAGCCCAAGGCGCTGCTTGCTGCAGCGCGAGGGTCCCAGAGTCTGACCTGGCGAAGAGACCAGGGCCGCCGGGTCGGGTCAAGAGGCCCCGGGCCCAGAACTCCAAACCCTAAACCTTGAACCCTAAACCCCCGAGGTAACGCAACCCTAAACCCTAAATCCTAAACCCCAAACCCTAGAC